CTTGACCACTAGCACAGTCTCTCTCTTCTGATTCTTGGATAAGTCCACTAACTTTACAGAGGGGATTTTCAATTCTTGAGGAAAGCATTTTACCCAACCCATTGTTCTCATTCTCAAAAGTTGAAGCATCGGTTCTGGATGCAGTCAGCACTACAAGTTGGGAAAGATGAGTTTCAAGCCTCTCTTTGTTCTCCTCAACATTTGCCTATTAAAGAAACCGGACTCACCCAATTGCTATAGAACCCGAATGGATAAAATCAAACAGCAAATGGAACAAAAGAGAGAAGAGTAGCTTCAAACAAGAAGGAAGTAAATAACAAGTACTTTTACTGAAAGACTTCTCTCAGACTGAATCTGCTTCTTCAATTGATTTATTCTGAGCATCAATGCTCTCACAGTATCGTTGCTGTGTTCTCCAGAGGATTTCTGTAAATTGAGAAAAAAAAACGGTAATCAATGCATTCCTTGTTCTTCATGCGTGCAGGGAATCCACTCCACTCCATTCACAATAGTAAAATAAGATAGAGATAGTATTCATTAATCAATAATGAGCAAAAAGGGTATTCAATGCATTCATTGGACATTGCATTAAATCAATAGTCATTACATGATAACCATGCCACTATTGAATTGAATTGAATTGAATTATAGATAAGCAAAGAAAAAGAATCATTTTTTAGTCACAAAGCAAGACCTTTTACATTTGAACATATCAAAATTTTAGATTTGGGTCCTGTGTCATTGCCCTGTTTCGGGCAAAGTTTATTACGAGTACTTTACTTCGTGTCTCTCAGTGATCATCGAGAAGGAAACCCTAAATATCCGGTACCGAAGCAAGCTCAAACTTTTATGATTAATCCACAAGTAACAGAAATACTCAAGGCTAGAAGTGATAAAAACTAAGGGTCATAATCACGAAAATGGAGAAAGACGGCATCCCACCATCCTAAATGATGAGGAGAATAACAGGAAATCAGGAATAACATATGGATTTTAATTGGAAGCATAGGTAGCAATGATCAACGAGGTGAATAATACAGTGATCAAAAGCATGAAGAAAAACTGACTCTGGATTTCGGAGAAGAATCGGATGAATTGGAGGACATGGCTGGCTGGCTGTGTTCTCCAGCTGACGATGAGCTTCTTAAGTACAGCAAGAGACCGAGAAGAGAAGAGAAAGGGAGGTCCTCCTACGGTCCTACCTCCTATCAAGAGAGATAACAAACAGTTGCCGTATCAAGTGAGAGAGAGAGAGAGATGCAAAGTCGAGCAGTGTTGTGTTGAGACTATAGGAATTGAGTCAGCAGAACCTCCTGCAATGGGCCCCACACAAAGCTTTTCTTTTTCTTTCATTTATCTATCGTGTCTGGAAGGATTTCTTCAACCTTGAAAATTGAACAAGGATTTGGAGGATTTACCAGGGATAAGGCTCAAATACATCATCGAATTGCACACTAAAATGTAATTAGATCATTAAATTTAAAAATAATATAATTAGGTTATTGAATAACATAAAATCATGTAATTAGGTCTAAAATAACTTGTTGACCTGAAATTGTGCTAATGTGGCGATTACCAATTTTAAAATAAATTTTAAATATAATTTGAAATAAAATATTTAATTAAAAAAAAAAAAAAACTAAAACTGCCGGAGACAAAGACATTTGTCTCCATGGCCAGAGACGAAGGGATGGTCTCCGGCCATGGAGACCAAGGCTTTGTCTTCGTCTCCATGGCCGGAGACGAAGCTCCATGGAAACGATTCATCTCTAGCAGTTTAAGTTTTTTTTTTTTTAAATAATTTTAATTAATTATTTTTAAAATTGGTAAACAGCATTTCAGGTAAATATGTCATTTTGGACTTAATTGTGTTGTTCAGGAACCTAATTGCATTATTTTTTAGTTCGATGGCCTAATTGCACTTTGGTGTGCAGTTCGGTGGCCTATTTAACCCTTATTCCTAATAAATATTACACTAGCTTACACAATACGAAGCCATGCTTACTTTTCGACCATCTTTGATATAGGCATGTTTGGTAACATAGTTAGCTTAATTTTGTCTTATTTAACTACTATTAGTTGTTTGACTTGGTTAAACATTCAATATAAGTATTTGATTAATTGATTTTTTGTAACAACTTATTGCTTCAAAATATTAAAATTTAAAAAGTTGCTCAAGTTAGCTTTTTTGAGAAAGTTATTTTGCATGTAATTAAGTATCAACTAATAGTTACCAAGACTTTGTGGTCTAATGGTATCCGAATTGTACACTCATATATGAAAGAGAGTGGGTTCAAGCCTCAGTAGAGACGGTATTGACTAAAATTCAAAAAAAAAAAAAAAAAAAACACAATTTGGGAAGGAAACAAATCATTTAATTCATTTTCAATAAGCCAAGCCAAGCCTTGAACAAGAAACTAGCTATGCTGAGTTTTGTCTTGCTTGAAGTAACGGACAAATATGTTGTTAGTACAAGAATGTCTTTGACAACAATGTATGTATAAACAAAGAAAATTGAAACTTGGGAGGAGCCGGGTAGATATATGATTATCAGTGTACATTATTTATAATATTGAGTATAAAAGTCCTCAATGAAATTAGTTAATAATGGAATAATAATATTTTGTAGAGATAATTTATTGGAAATCAAAAAGTGACAGAAGGTAGACATATTAGATTAAGGTATAACTTAAAAGAATCATATGTGTATAGTTAATAATGTTGTTCCCATGTACGTCTATCCTCTCTTTCAGATCAAAGTAGAGATGGGCGGGCGTAATCAGAAGCCATCCACATGCAATGCAACGAGAGATGTGAGAATGACGGCGACTCACATCCTCTATCTGTTGACTGCTGCTGCAAGAAGAAGAAGAAGTTTCGTCGGCTGAAAGATCAAGCTGAGGCGTATGTTTTCCAACAATAGGAAAGGAGACTCTAGCTAGCCATGCCCAAAATTCCATCCACTACTTGTAAGGTTGGGACTTGGGAGGTTTTAACTTCAAGGAGTATAGTACGTGTTAGCTTGTTTCAACTTCATCATATCATTATATTTTAAACCCATAAAATAAGAACCAACTGATGAAAGACACGACAAAAAAAAGTGAATAAGGTAAGAGAACAGCAGATAAGTTACAAGTATAGTACGAGAACAACAATGAAGACGGACAAGTCTGTGTCATCATCCTCTCAGCTTTAGGCCACAGTCAAACAAGAAGAATACGAAGTAGACATGACAAACAGAAATCATAGTAATTGAGAAAGTAAAAGACGCGGTAAAATCGGTAGCACAAAGATGGACTCCTATACTTGGGCTGCTTTTCTATATTGGGCTTTTTATTTATATACCAAACCTTTTTTTTTTTCATTCAGTTAATAAATTATGCACTTATAAATAAATTGAATTGCAAGTATATAATTTGAAGAACGAACATGAAAGTACATAATATGTTAATTCTAAAAATGATTGTCACTACTCCCAAGCTAATGACGATGAAGAGCCCACCTTCTGTCACCCGCAACTTCTCCACTCCCAAATCCCTAGAAAATGACTCCTATGATGAGCTGGAAGAACTGCCCCAAACTTCATCTTTCACGACCAACAATTTCAATTTCTTTGAGGAGAGAATCCTTATTGATCCATGTATTCTTTTTTTTTTTTTTTTTTTGAAAGCCGATCCATGTATTTATTCAAGTTGTTGTATGTACGTATGTATGTACCTAGCTTTAGAGTTATGAAATGTGTCGGGCTTGTTCTTCATATAGTTAAACGGTTTAGCTAACAGCCTACTCCCTGGCGCAATCCAAGTAGCGTAATTACATTTTTCATTTCTCCATTACACTACAGTTGGGGAAAGAATGAATATTAGAGTGAGCTTAGCTTGGCGGTGTCGATAATGGGTAGGTAATATTGTTAGAAACTTTATAAATTATATCTCTATCTGTTCAATGTTTATTCCCTAATTGATTAATTCGTAGTGTATATTCAACAAATTATGTCAATGGGATAGGACTCAAACCTGAGACCTTCCTTATGATAAGAAAGTGATGCCACCAAACTATAAGGTACTTGACTTTAATTGACAAGAAATATGCCGCCCTAATTGACATATAATTATCAAACTATTAAAATTGGACAAATCCATATTATTTGAATGGAAAAATGCTTAAGATATGTTGTTAATATTTTCTTTTGGTTGCCCAAGGTATTCCTCCAGCCGATAGCCAGAAAACTAATCCCCCGTCCCAACGATCAACGCATTAAGCGGTAGGAGACTAGCCAAATAGTTTGCTCCATTCACATGGGTAGGGATCAAACCCCTCACCTCATGCTTAAGGGACGATGTGCTAAACTACCACGCCAACCATGCTTAATATATGTTGTTAATATAACATGTTGTATTAGCCCTAATATGGTGGCTGCTTCTGGATTAACAGCTTACCTCAGCAACTATGGTTAAGCTTGAAATGATAAATATGCATAGATACAGACATACAGTACAATAGTATAGGTATGGTCCTACGAGATGAGATGAAAGGGGTATTTGCAATTGCCCTAAAACTAAAAAAAGAGATCACTTGACACCGCACTAAGAAATAGGTGAGGTGGTCTCCCACTTCAACTATACAACTTTTAAACACCAATCATGGTTGCTGCACCAACTTGAACTCCATAACTTTCCTCTGGTTGGGTTGGATGTCCACTTGTCTGCTTCACTTCACCCTTTTTTGGCACTTCCAGTAATGGAGTAAGCCCAGGAATCTGCCATCTATCACATACTGTAAAATATAGATATAGATGGATGCCCAGAGAATAATGGCAATTCTAACACCACCAAATCAAACTAATGCCATTACTCGCTCAGATTTCTCTCTTCTTTTATTTATTAATACCTGATTTTGCTAACATACCCCAAAGTATGGCCTAGCAATGGAACAATAATCTTGATAAATAAAACAGATGGAAGACACATTCGCAATGGCTAGGAAATTCTACCATGAGAGAGCAACACAACCTATCATCCAAGAAATGCATAACCATAGGGAGGCCGAGTAACAATCAGCAAGGAACAGCTAAAACATAAAATCACTATTCAGATTAACTCAGTCTGACTGGTGATTTTTTTTTTTTTTAAGGGGAAAGTAAAAAATAGGTCATATACTTGTAAATACAAAAAGTTGTTCCAGTAGATCTTATTCCCAGCTCTGCATTTTAAGTGCTGGAGAATCCCATTCCTCTATATTCTCTCTATGTTATGCAAATGTGAAATATTCACATTAGTATCCATCAAATAAACATGTATATGCAGTAACACCAAGATTGTGAGGGAAAGGACAATGCGCCACAGTGTTAGCACACCTTTTCAGCATCCATCTTGGCATGAATAGCCTTGTAGCACTTGAGACTGCAGAGAGGAAGATTTGACTTGGAATCACGATATTTGTAAGGGTTCGAACAGGAAGGGCCAGCACATTTTTCTCGAGGGGGTGGATAACTGAAATTTCACACAAATTATCAGATAATTCAGGGTACTTGCTGTGAAATTTGAACTTACCTAAAAATAAATAACACCAAAGCCAACCCTAAACATGCACCCAAAAATATTTAAGTGTTTTCCATTTCAGGTAGTTTTGTGTTTAAATGGGGGCAGCACTTTTTACCTGCAGGGTTTGGGATCAAATATAGAGGGTAAACCCATCTCCATGGGAAATGTCACAACTGTCCCTGTAGGGGTCATGACAATTCTGATGGTGTCAGATGCAAGCATTTGATCTTTAGCAGCCCTCTCCTGCAAGATAGAGAAATTAAACAGGTTGCGCTGCTTCATAACAACATCAGGAATATCACCTCTTAATACACACAGTACCTGGGCCAACTCTTCTTGGCGCTTCTTTATTTTATCTTCTTTCTTCTTTCTATTCGAATCTTGACCAAGTATTTTTCTAATTGCTTCAGCCTGGTTCATTATGACATGCTCATTTCAACATAACATTCTCAGTACATGGGACAGATGATAAAGCAAATAACCAAAGGCAAACCTCTGATTCTCGAGCTGCCTTCTCATTTTGCATTCTACGCCTCTGAGCAGCCTCAGCTTTCTTCAGTTGCTGCTCCACTTCAGTGAGTTTCTCTTTTTGTTCTGTCATAGAGCAAATACACAGAAACAACACATTGAGTTATTAAAGAACATCCTAGAAAGCAATTATTAGGCAACAAATCAAGACTTGATATACTCACTTCGAGATGGAGGTGGCGGTAAACCATTAGGGAACTCAACCTGGCTCACACCAGATGCAGATGCTTCCTTGCTTGAGAGAAGAGCCCGTTGGCGTGTTGTAAGAGTTACTTCCCTCTTAGTTTCCGTCTGTGTATCAGGTGAGTCCCTTCTTTGTTTCTGTTTCTTTTTACCTTCAGGTTCACCATCAGACAGCAATTCTTCCTCCTCTTCATAGTCAGTGTCCTCGGAACCTTTACCATCTGATCTCTTCTTACCATCTTTGACTGACCTTCCAACCTCTTCAACACTTTCATACTTCACCCCCTTAGAAACCCTAGCGATACTCCGATGTTTATGGGCAGATTCCTCCTCAAAATCTCTAATGCCAGCAACCTTCGATGTCTTAAGCTTTTCCAAATAACGGATCTCATCATCTTCATCATCCTCATCAAATGCCCCATCCAAAACACGCCTTTTTGGGACCCTCTTGCTCTTTCGGACTGAATCTGACTTTTCAGTTTGCTTCTCAACAGCATTCTTGGGCGGCATCTTCCTGTTACTCTCCTTGCAGGAATCAAAACCCCTGGGGAAATCTTTCAATGGATTTCCTTGCAAAGGGATTTTCTTATCTGAAGGAGAATGGCTCTCTCCTGAATTGTCCTGAGACTGAAAGAAAATGTTCAAATGAAGGATTCAGTGGTCAACTAAAAGGCGAAAAATGTTAAATGCGATTTCCACATAAATGCAAAAGATTTAGTCAATATTATTTTAAAATTTTTAAAATAAATAAAATAAAATAATACAAACTTTTAACGAATATATAAATTAGCCAATAGCCTAGAAAAGAAAGAATTGCATATTAGCCTCATTCAAATCATTGAAATAAATTTTGACTTGGGTGAGGACCCTTTTCCATTACCAATAAAGCAAATCCCTAATAAATTTTATGTTATCCGTTGGAACAGGTTATTTGGAACTAAATACATATGCAATGTGGTACAAAGTTTAAATGTCTTGACTTCCAAACTCAAAATGCACTTTAAAAGGAGCATAGATTCTGAAAATTTTGCAAACGAATTACTTGATAAGAAATATATATACACCTGAAGGGTAAGTTTCTGTCGTGACCGAGAGGCATCCGAAGGTCGAGAACTCTTTGTAGAAGATCCACTACCAGATGCACCATGGGAACCATTTTTGGCTTGAATAGTACGCGTCACCCCACCAACCTTCAGTTTAACTTTCTTAAGTTTGTTGTCATTTCCGACACCATTACGAATTGTTCCCAACTGTCTGGTAGGGCTCCTCTGGTGGTGTGTATCATCTCCTAGTCCACCATTGCCATAGGACACTCTAGATCCTAGATCATCCTTAATCTTCTTATTTGGGTTTTCACTTTCAGGTATAGTAGCAGGAGAGCCCCTTGATATACACTGGGTAAGGCTGAAAATCTTCCCTCCAGAATTAACATCGCCATCAGTTTCATCACTGGAGATCCTGCCAACATCATTTGAAACTGGAGTTGATGGCAAGGGTGATGGATCATAACTTCCAGGAAACAGCTGTATATCAGGCCTAGGTCGCCGAGGAATGCTGCTCCTCCTCTTCCTTGTACTAGATGCAGGAACTTCAATTTGAGTACTGCCAAATTCATCCATGAAGACTAACCACAAATAGTTACGCTCATGTGTCAATAAAGCCTAAAGCTTAAGTAAATGACAATTCCAATTCCCGGCTACATCATCAACTTCAAAACTGCAAGGTGCAAGCATCCATTAAAAAACTCCTAATAATAATAACTCTCCAAATATAATAATTCACATAGGAAATGTTGATAAACAACATTAAGAGTAATTTTCATATAGATGTTAGTTGTTTAATTTAAACATAATTTGGACATTTCACCACAAAGAAACATCTCTGCGGCGAGAAACTTCAATACATCAGCAAAAAGTTTTGCACTGCCAACAAAATGGCAATCATATTACCGAATCAATGAGCATGAAATTTCTCGTTTAAATAGAACCACAAAGTTAAGCAAAATAATTCAACAGAGAAGACCCATTCGAAAACCATAACAAAATCCAATCACACCGGAGATCAAATTTGATGAGCTCCATAGCTCACAAGTAATCGAAACATCAAAATCAGTGCCACGGACAAAAAAAATCCTTCAAACCAATCCCCCGAAACGAAAGAGGAGAACAAATTCTCAGCAAATCCCAATCACATTATTCGATCAAAAGAAAAGAGCTCATAGCAGCAAAAACCCAATTCGCATAATACAATGATGCGACAATAAACGGAAACAAAAAAACATACCTGAAGCAACCCAATTGACAAGCAGCAATGGAAAGCAAAGAAAAATGAGAGTGAAGAAAGAGAGAACAGAAAGCGAATTAGGAGACAGTAGAAGATTGAGTGGGTGGATAGAAGCGAATATAGAGATAGAGAGATATTGATGCGAGGAGGAGGGTGAAGACAAGGACGAGAGGAAAAGAGAGATATAATTTGTTGCAAGTATGTATATTTAGGGTTAGCGTTTGGATGATGGGGGGTGGGGTGGGGTGGGTGATGAGGGGGTCGGTCGCTATAGTACTAGTAGTGGTAGTAAAGGGAAAGAAGACTCCCAAAATCTTCTCCATTTTTTTTCTCTTAATTCACCCTGAGCTTCTGTTTTGTTGGATCGCTGTCTTGCTGACCCGACTCGCCGAGTTGACCCGCCCCCTTATCGTTCTCTTCTTATTCCTCTCCCTCTCTCTCTCTCTCTTTCTCTCTCTCTCTACACTGCTGTCCTATTACTTCTTGTTTTCGCTCCTCTTCACTCTTCAGCTCTTCTTCTACGCGGCTTGGTCATGCTGCAACTATCTGCGCATGTTAGACGCTGCTCACTACTCCGTTTACGTTAGCCCACAATCCTACATCCACATGTCAATCACAAAATGCTTATATTATTTTACTCTTTGTCTTAAAAGATTATCAATCTTTTTTTTTTTTTTTTTACATTGTAAACTCAATATAATAAATTATATATATATATATATATATATATATATATATATTAGTCTTTTTTGGAAAGTCAATAATTTATAATCACTTTACTATATATCGAGTATCATTTACTTTTCCTAAATACTCATGCACCATGTTAGTGTAAACTTTGATAACGAAATATTCTGTTAACTGTTTATTATTTGTTAACAAACTCTTCGATTTTCATAAGGAGATCTTAGATTCAAATCTCATTTCAATTAAAATTGTTATAATTGTTGAACATATACTATAAATATATTAAAGTGTATTAAAAAATATAATATCTATTCTAACTATATATTTCGAATTATTTATCATCATCCTATATTGACAACAATTGTAGCAATTGCCATTGACAAAATTCCAAAACAATTTGTCTCAACTACGAATGTAAATATAAATAAATAAAAATCAATGACTTCACTATTGTTGATGAAGATTAAGTACACATTCTATTAAATTAAATAAATTATTAGCTACAACAAAAAATAATACATATGTTTTTCTTTCATTTAAAATTAGATGTTTGCAATGTCTTTCTTCAAAAAAAAAATTATTCATTATCAAAAAAAATTAAAAAGATATATAATTTCATTAATTATATTATTGTCTTTATTTTCTACAATGCAAGAATTCATTATCTTCAAATTCATTAATTAATTATCCACTACAACACATTGTCTTATTTTCTACACTATCTTGTAATTAAATATCAAAGTTATAATACAAAATAATGTTATATATTTATTTTCCAATAATTTTATTAATACCATGAAAAAAAAAATTTTGAAGCAATCATATTAACTACTTGGAGATGATTTGTTGACAAAGGGTTATTCAAATAAATCAAGAAATTGAAGCGGGAAATTGCCTCGTAATATCTTTGGACTACATCACAGTTGTTCACTTTAAAGGTAAATCGTATTTTTCTATTAAGATGATTTAAAATGTTTAAAATTTTAATACCTTATCTAATATTATTCCTTAAATAAACTAGAGATTTATCTATCAACAAAAAATCTTTCAACAATAATGGTTGAACCAAAAGTACACCGAGCATAACATCTAAATGACTGGTATGATTTTTATGTTGATAATAATATGTAAATGCTAATTATATTCATTATTTTACGTAGCCACAATTATAACTCATTATTAAAAATGTTAATGTATGACAATATAACACCATAACACACTTGACGCATTGAAAATATGTCAAGATTACAACAAAACAACAATCAATTTTACAAAATCCAAAAAAAATGAAGAATTAAAAAAAAAAAAAAAACAACCATCGCTGCATCATTCATTGATCTTGTATGTACAATACTTATTGTGCATCATTTAAATATATTATAACAAATATAAATTTACAAATTCATTTAATTTTCTAGACTCAACATGCTTGGATTAAAGGCAAAATCAGCATCAACCTTGAAAATAAAAACACTTATTGGTATATAGGATGTAGTCACTATTTAAAACGGTTTATACACAAAGTGAGAAACTATTTAACTGCATGCATTGCGGTGAAAAAAGACAACAATGAGTACTCCTAGGTTAGTATCAATAAAAATAAAAAAAAAACAAAAAAAAAAACACACACACAAATCAAGTATTACATTTATTCATAATAATTCTTTAAATATGAACTTCAAAATGAATGTGAAAATTGTTGATAAAATTTGACACATTGCTGCATCAGTAGTCGAACTACTTGTATAGTCATTGTTGTTACTATCAAGTAAACATGTTATGAAACTATAACAAAATATACAATTCATGTACCATATACAAACTAGTTATTTTATGCGCTTTGCGCTTCGTCCTGAACACCCATTTGCAGCCTACAACATTCATACCAGGTGTGCGACTAACCAGACGCCAAGTGTGATTCTGAAGACAGGCATTAAACTCAAGATCCATGGCCTCACGCCATTCCGGATACCGAACTGCCTGAGAATAACAGGTCGGCTCAGAAACAGTCATAAGAGCCACATGCTGCGTCGGCCCCAAAGAACGAGTCGCCATAGCATGAGACCGAGGTGGAGCCGGTTTTACCGTGCGCCGACCTCGCTTGGGCGCCTTAGGAGCACCCGAGACTGCCACATCTGGAGCCACGGCAGTCTCGGTGCGGGAATCAGAAGCAGCACCAGCAGCCCCGGAATCCGTGTCCATCTCTGGACGAGGATCCGGCCCAGCAGAACAAACACCGGAGCTCGCGCCAACCTGAACGGCGCCAACACCCCACGACTCAATCGGGCGAGAGCTAGAGACCTGAGAGGGGACAGAAGAAGCAAATGGAAATATGGTTTCATCAAACCGCACATGACGGCAAATGAATACCTTGTTAGTAGCAGGATCAAAACAACGATAGCCACGAAACGAAGACGGATAACCAAGAAACACACACGGAGAAGACCGATACTGCAACTTGTTACGATTATACGGGCGTAACAGAGGATAACAGAGACAGCCAAACACACGCAAGAAAGAGTAAGAAGGACTAGAACGATGCAACCGAGAATGAGGACTATCATTATCCAAAACCCGAGTTGGCATCTTATTGATGAGATAGACCGCAGTCTCAAAGGCATAATCCCAATATCGTTGTGGAACCGAAGCCTGAGCCAAGAGAGCCAAACCCGTTTCCACAACGTGACGATGCCGACGCTCAACTCTACCATTCTGCTCATGGGTATAGGCACAAGACTGCCTATGATTAATACCCAAAGAGACAAAAGTACGGTGCAACCGTTTATACTCTCCCCCTAAATCAGATTGAATAGAGACAATCTTACGACCATATGAACGCTCAACTAGTGACCGAAACTGCTCGAAGATAGCATACACATCAATTTTCAAACGCATAGGATAAAACCATACATAGCGCGTATAGTCATCAACAAACAAAACAAAATAACGAAAGCCATTGACGGAAAGAAAAGGCACTGGGCCCCAAATATCAATATATATAAGTTCTAAAACATGAGACGTAGTAGTAGTGACACGAGGCAAGGGAAACCGTGAGGATTTCCCAAGCATACAAGCACGACACAATTCCGAAGTATCACTAAAACTAGACTGAATAGAACATGAATTTAAAATCTGCCGCAAGACGCGTGGGTGAGGATGACCCAACCGGCTATGCCACACGTCAGAGGAGACTCGAGAGGCCACAAACGCAGCGGGACGTGAACGAGAGACAGGCCAAGAATAGAGACCCCCCGAAGCCGGCCCTTTATATAGAACTTCCCTGATTGAACGATCCTTCACAAAGAAACAATCAGGGTGAAACTCAAAAAAGACATTATTATCACGAGCAAACCGTTGCACAGACAATAAAGACGCAGAAAGCCCAGGAACATGAAGAACATCAGACAATCGAAACAGTGTTTTAGATGCGGCTAACGAAGATGAACCAGTGCTAACAATAGGTAAACACTTACTGTCACCAACACGAAGATGATCCGGACCATTATAAGGAACCGTCGAGGACATTAAAGACGGATCCGGAGTGGCATGATTCGACGCACCAGTGTCAGAAAACCACTGCTGAGGATTAACCGAAGCCGAATCATTAGCAGAATATGCAACATGTGCCCGCGGCCCCGGAGCGCCATCATAACGACGATAGCACGAAGCGGCCGAGTGGCCTTCGCCGGAGCAGATCTGGCACTGGACAGCCCCGGCGCCACCTTGACCGCGACCTCGGCCCTTGCCACGACCTCGGCCTCGATTGCCGCCGCCACGCTGCTGCCCGCCCGAGCTACCTCCACCTCGCTGAGCCGCTATGGCGACCGGAGCAGCAGCAACGTCACCACCATCATCAGCACATATAAAGGCCTGCGAAACAAGAAAATCGGATAACTCGGGTAAAGACACCGGAGCACCCCTCGTCAGCAACGCCACCAAAGGGCGATATTCGGACCGCAAGCCCCGGAATATATACATATTCTGATCTTCTAGTGTCACCGGACGGCCGGCAAGTGCCAAATCCTCAATAAGCACCTGAGCACGCCCAAGATAATCCGGGATCGAAGCATCCCCCTGCTGCAATCCTTGCAGTTCGCCCACCAACCGAAGAGCACGGGCCCGAGTCGTCGAACCAAGAACTTGTTCGATCGCCACCCACAAATGCCGAGAGGAGGTTTTACCGATGGCAAGATGCATCATCTCGTCGGACAAGGACGGGATCAACAAGGAGAGCACAGCTTTATCTTGACGAAGCCATGCACTTCGAGCGGCGGACGATACGGCCGACGAAGACACGGCAGCAGCAGCCTCCTCGGCAGAAGGTACCGTAATCGCAGTAAACGGGGGACACACAGACGTTCCATCGACAAAACCCAACAATCCTTTGCCATCCAGGAACGGAAGAAGCTGAGTGCGCCAAAACAAAAAATTACGGGATGTCAATTTGATGGAAACGAAGTGATGAGCCGAAGAAAACGACACCCCGGACTGCAGGGGTGCCACAAGCGCAGCCTCAGAAACAGTCCGTTCAGAACTTCCAACAGAACCGCCATCAGAACCGAGGTGCGCCATAGAGAGAGAAAAAAAAATCTGCTGATACTAGATGAGGATATAATATTTCTGAATGATTCAAATAATAAGTTTGTACAGGAATATATATAGTAGCGAATAGCAAACCTAATACAAGACTAATATTAGTAACAATAGGTAACGAATACTAATAATAATAGAGTCCTAATAGTACCAAGTTGTTCTCTTATGAGAAAGTGATTGGTTCGAATCTCGGTGGAGGCAATTAGCTTGTAATGGTTATCCTCTTCCCTAATAAAAAAATAAACATCAAAACAAAATTTGTAATAAGTGTCGCCGGCGAACATAAAGGCCACGAGGGACGAACACATATAGATCCATAGTATTCACTATTCCAAAAGGTTAAACCCCAATCCTAAGGGCCCCCCACACCGACAGAGCATTTGGGAGGATGTAAATCATGAGTCATGAACCATAAATAAAGGCTAGACCAGTGCTCACTACACACAAGGAGCCCCCACACTACCGCTGGTGAGACTCAATCCCTGGTCATTATTCCAAAGTTTCACCTCTATGACCAGTTGAGCCACCCATGCAGGCAGATCCATAATATTCACAAAGATACTGAAGGCTACCAGAGACCACTGGATGAAGCATGACAAAAAATACATCCACGGTGAGGTTGATAATACGGTGAACTCCGTGTACATTATCATCTCCAAAATTTTGTGACAATCAATTTTTATTTGAGAAAAGGGTCAAATAGACCCTAAACTTTACCCCAAATGTCAATTAGCCCCCTAAATTTTATAAATGTACATTAAACCCTCAAACATGTTAAATTGGATCAATAAAGCCCAAAAACCGATAAATAATTTGTTATTACAGGTCATTTTAATTCCGGCAACATATTTCGGCGACAAAAATCGGCCGTCCCGAACGGCCGCCTTCTCCAATGGAGAAGAACGGCCAGATCTGGCTGTTCCGTTCTTCTCCATTGGAGAAGACGACCAGATCATCGGTCGTTCTTCTCCAATGGAGAAGAACGACGGCCAGATCTGGTCGTCCAGTTGTCTTCTCCTGTAGAAGACAACTAGAGGGCCGGTTTTGTCGCCGGATTTTTTGCTGGTCGCCGGAATCCGTCGCCGATCACCGAAATCCGTCGCCGGAATCTGTTGCCGGAATTAAAATGACCTATAATAACAGGTCATTTACCGGTTTTTGGGCTTCATTGACCCAATTTAACATGTTTGAGGGTTTAATTGCACCTTTGGGGTAAAGTTTAAGGGTCTATTTGACCATTTTCTCTTTTTATTTTTATTTTTTTGATTAATTTATTTATAATTTATAAAAATATATTTCGTACTATATATTAAAAAAGTTTTTAAAAATATTATAAATAATGTTTAATAGAAGTTATAGAATGTTTCTAATGGTGTATTCAATTTAAAGTTTTAAAATTTATGTAAATTTTTTAATATAATTTTTTTAAAAAAAGTTATAAATGTTTGTCTTATAAATTTGTATAGACTCGTACAAAATCTATTTTTTTTTAATGAATGTTATTTAAAATCCACTACTTAAAAACTACTCCGTATTTAAAAGTCTATAAAAATATTGATTGAATACACCTTAAGTACAATAGTATGCGTGTTTAATATATATGAGCTCTGAAGGCTCATATGTCAATATGTGGTCAATTATTATATGCAAATTGTCAATTTAAAATCCCTAATAAGTTAAGGAAGTTCTAATTAAACTCGTGATCTCAAAATATGGGAATCATGTTTTACTTGTTTTTTTTTTTTTTTTTTAAGCGACGAAGAATACAGTCAATTATTACCTAACAGTGATGAGTTCGATCAAGAAAGTATCAATAAAAATCAAATTCACAACGTTACGAAAATGATGTTCCACCCACTTAAACATATATTTTTTTTGGCAAATTGAATGCTTTCAAACAGTCCAATAATTTATTTGGTATTTTATTAAAAAAGAATATACTCCGTATTTTATTTGGCTGGTATAATTAACAAATGTATTATGTATATATATGTTGTTGTATTACAACAGAGTTTAAGTTTCACTATATAATGCCACAGCCGAAAATAATTTATTTTCTGATGATTGAAGTACCAAGCGATTCGTAATTAGGGTTTATCCGGACAAGACAGTCCAATTGCTATTTTAGGGTTTCAGATTTCTCGGTGGTCACCCGAAATACAGAACTATGTCGAAGAGAAAGTTCGGATTCGATGGCTTTGGTATTAATCGACAGGCAACATACAACTTCGAGCGAGCGGAAGCTCCTCAGCGTCTCTACGTACCGCCCTCGTCCCGCTCCGTCGGTGGTCACGACAATTACGAAGATACTGACTTGGATAATATTGATTACGATGAACGAGATGGCAACGAAGACAACAATAATGATATTAACGATGGCAGTGGTGGTGCCGACGATGAAATCGACCCTCTGGATGCGTTTATGGAGGGGATTCACGAAGAGATGAAGGCAGCGCCGCCTCCGAAGCCCAAGGAGAAGTTGGACAAGTACAAGGATGATATTGAGGATGATCCCATGGAGAGTTTTCTGAAAGCGAAGAAGGACATAGGGTTGCAATTGGCTGCGGAGGCTCTTAACGCTGGATATAACTCGGATGAGGAGGTTTATGCCGCAGCCAAGGCTGTGGACGCAGGGCTCGTCGAGTATGATTCCGATGATAATCCTATAATTCTTGACAAGAAAAAGATTGAGCCGATTCCAGCTCTGGATCATAGCTCAATTGATTATGAGCCATTCAACAAGGACTTCTACGAGGAAAATCCCTCTATTTCAGGTACCTTTTCCTTTGATTATTTTCTGTATATGCAGTTAGATAAAGTTTAAAGTGTGAATTTTTTTTTTTCTTTCTCTTTTCACTTTAACCTTGAATGTAATTAAATGCTTGAATGTTAAGTGAGAAAGAACATGCAGTGAAAATATTTGAGTTATTTGTATAATTTACTGTATTGCTTTCACAATAACAAGCATCTTATCGAAATTAATTTATACATCCAAAATTGGGTGCAAGTTGTTGTATTATCCTTGCCTTTGTTTGAATTTCATTTTCGGTTTCCCCCAAAATGCAATTACCCTGTCCGAATCTTGTCCATTTATTGTCAACTGCATATGGTCATAGCTGTTACCTTTTCATGCTGGTATCCTATTTCATTGTCCTTTCAGTACTTTTTTTTTTAATTATTTTATTTTGTATTTTTAAAATATTTTTTTAAGTAATCTCTTTTGTCCATTCTCTTTAGGCATGAGTGAACAGGATGTTATTGAGTATAGGAATAGCTTGGCTATTCGTGTCTCAGGCTTTGATGTCCCAAGACCAGTGAAGACATTTGAAGATTGTGGGTTTTCTGTTGAGCTATTGAAAGCAATTTCAAAACAAGCATATGAAAAACCTACACCAATACAGTGCCAGGCTTTACCAATTGCCCTTTCTGGGGGGGATATCATTGGTATTGCTAAGACTGGTTCTGGTAAGACTGCTGCATTTGTGCTGCCATTGATGGTGCATATTATGGATCAACCTGAACTTGAGAAAGAAGAAGGTCCTATTGGAGTAATATGTGCACCCACTAGGGAACTGGCACACCAAATATATGTGGAGACTAAGAAATTTGCAAAGTCTCATGGTATACGTGTCTCTGCTGTTTATGGTGGAATGTCTAAATTAGAACAATTTAAGGAATTGAAGGCAGGATGTGAGATTGTTGTTGCTACTCCTGGGAGATTGATTGACATGCTTAGAATGAAGGCTGTGACAATGACGAGGGCAACTTACCTAGTGCTTGACGAGGCTGATCGGATGTTTGACCTTGGTTTTGAACCACAGATAAGGTCAATAGTTGGTCAAATTAGGCCAGATCGTCAAACATTACTCTTTTCAGCAACCATGCCACGTAAAGTTGAAAAGCTAGCAAGGGAGATTCTTTCTGATCCTGTACGTGTCACAGTAGGTGAGATTGGAATGGCAAATGAGGATATTACCCAAGTGGTTCAAGTAATTCCTTCTGATGCTGAGAAGTTGCCTTGGCTTCTTGAGAAGCTTCCTGGTCTGATTGATGATGGTGACGTTCTTGTATTTGCTTCCAAAAAGGCCACAGTGGATGAGATCGAATCGCAACTAGCTCAAATGGGTTTTAAAGTTGCAGCTCTTCACGGTGACAAGGATCAAGCTTCTCGTATGGAGACACTGCAGAAATTTAAATCCGGAATTTATCATGTGCTTATTGCTACTGATGTTGCTGCTCGTGGTCTTGACATCAAGTCAATTAAGTCAGTGGTTAATTTTGATGTTGCTAAAGACATGGATATGCATGTTCATAGAATTGGTAGAACAGGCCGTGCTGGTGATAAAGATGGAACTGCATACACTCTTATTACTCAAAAAGAGGCACGTTTTGCTGGAGAATTAGTCAACAGTTTGATTACTGCTGGTCAAAATGTGCCTGCGGAACTGATGGACCTTGCAATGAAGGTAGTCTGCTGCCTTGTGTATATATACTCAATTTAATAACCCTAACTGCATACTTGTTAACTGTATCATAAGAAAATCTTTTTATGTATAGCCTCATTCATAATACTTTTGTATTGTGGATCTCCCTTAAATCTTAGAAAAACTGGTTTTTCTAATGATTGGCACTTGCACTTTAAATAATTAGGATGGAAGATTTCGTTCCAAACGTGATGCACGGAAAGGAGGTATGAATTTATTTTTCATAATATTTAGTGATTGGCTCTGCAAAAGATCGGTAAATAATTTCAGATAAAATTGGCAGAGTAAGAAATTATTTTGTGTGGAAGTACTCATGAATTCATAGTGAAGATCTTCATGAATAATATATTAGCTTTGGCAGGTGGAAAGAGGGCGAAAGGAAGGGGAGGCAGTGGTCGAGGTGTGCGTGGCGTGGATTATGGTCTGGGTATTGGATACAGTGCAGAATCAAGTAATGCTCCAACTACCACTGTTCCAAGCCGTTCTGCAGCAGTAAATTCACTAAGAACCGGGATGATGGCACAGTTTAAGAGCAACTTTGTTGCTGCCTCATCAAATCTCCAAAATCAGGCGTTAGGTAATAGTTCAGGAATGAACCCTAACAAGAAAATGGCACTGCCAGGCTTTGTATCTGGGGGAACAATAGGTGGAGACACAAACGCTTCCCGGACTAGTTCAATTAGTAATGCTGCAACATCTGTTCAGAAACCGAGAGAAGATGCTAGCCACTTGAGCTCAGGAAGGTCAGTTCTTCTCACTCTCTGTTTGGACTGTGTAATCATTTAATCTCTTCTCACTTTCTTCACAAGAATACTTCGTTATCATCATCATCATCATCATCATTTTTGCAGCTCTAGAGATAGGCAGAGAGAAAGGAGGCGGCCTTCTGGTTGGGACCGTTGATTTGTTTCTTTGGCAGCTCATTTATATTTATACTGGATGACCAAATCCGCTTGTGTGAACTTGAATAGTCATAATTTAGGTGAAAGTTTTATCTCATTGTCTGTAATGATGCTCTTTGCCCAAATTGCTCATCTTGGTTTATGTGCCCTTGTTCCAATTCTAGTTTGTGGTCTTAATTTTTATTGTATAGATAAATAGATAGATGATATTTATGTGCCCTTGTTCCCACTCCATTTAGCCCAGCCTTGCCCCATCCTCTTTTTAAATTACCTCTTATTATATCTGTTGACATGTCACTCTTGAAGGTGAATGTTTAAGCTAAAATTAAGTAGGAAAATGCCCTTGTACCATTTTGCTATACTGTTTAGTGGTCAAATTATTATTATTATTATTATTATTTGTTTATATTATTTAATATTTAATGTTTGCTTATAATTTTTAAATTTGGTATGTTATGTTTAATTGTATTTTTAAATTTTATATACTAATGCTAATGCTAAATTAAATTGTAAATGGAACTAGACACAAAATGAGGCAAAGGAGGAGTGCATGCGTTACTTTTTAGCTCCACCAGGAAACTTGGAATATAGATTCATCTTTTGATGTTAAGTTGTTGGTTTAGGTTGACAAAGGCAGGCAGCATGAGTGTGAAAGATAGCGTTTCCTGGTGTGTCCACTTGGTATTTGAAGTGCATTGCACTAGAGTAATGGTGTGTGAACAAGATAGAATTATACTACATATACATTGAAGCTAAGAGAAAGTTGTACAATGTCTCACTCACGCCTTTGGACACTTTAATGCATCTTCCTTCCGTCTAATGGCGTTTGGGCATATCTCGAGGCAAGGTTCCTTTACAGTGTCATCATCATGGGGAGGCAGGATCCCAAACTTGAACTGCCACAAAAAAATTACACAACTAACATTGGTTGTTGGGGCCCCGCCTGGGGGGAGTTGTGCAGCAAAATTGAAAAAGAAAAATACATACCTGGCAGCTATAGTCACTGAAGTTTGGCTCCATAAGCAAAGGAACTCCCATACAATCCTTAAAGAAAGCCTAAAAGAGAGAGTGAAATGAAAGTAGACATCCAAGGTTGGATTAATGAAGGTAATAGGATGAGTGAGGTACCTGTGTAGGGAGCTTACATGTATTGATACATATACCCACGCATTTGCTCTCTTCTAAATACTTGCATCTCTCTACAAACACCTGGTGCACAAGTAATTGAATTTGAATACAGAACAGAAATGTTAAGGGAATGAAGAGACACAGGCAGCAACCCACCCCACTCATCCAGGAGGATCCGTTAGGAAGATCCACAGAGTTGACAGTGCAAGGACCCATGAGCCATTTGCAAGATAATGCCGTCACTCTTGCTACATCACATTCAACAACTAACTGGTTACTGGTTACTGGTTACTGGTTACTGGTGGTGAGTTGTATGTATAATAATGTATTAATATTAAGAAGAAGAAGAAAAGATGAAGGAGGATGAGGAGGAAAGGATCGGAGCGATGAACTGACCTACCATCACGGCCGCAACACTCCCTCCGGCTAAAGGTCCAATAAGCATTTTATAGAGATGTAACAGCCAAGGAGGAAAGAGTGATTGCAATATACGGACCTGCCAAGCCAAGCCATATAAAATACATATCTACTTAGCAAACAACTATTTGCCCAATTCATCTCATCATCTAAACCCTAAACACACATACAGCGGCTTCTCTTGTTTCAGAATTGCTTCGACCAATAACAAGACGGTTGGCAACTTCAATTAGTCCATCATATCCAGGCTTGTCGGAGTCCCATCCCGACTCCTGTCAAACACACGTACAAGATGATTAGCATAACAATCCTTTCTTTCAAATGCGGTAGGTACGTTTTGAAGGAAATGTTAGGGGCTGGATCGGCGATCGCTCACCTGGACCATTTTGCTACGGAACAAATGAAGGAAGAGGTTATCCAGGGGGCCGGGCTTGTATTCACTTCTGCCGCCTGCATCTGTCTGCTGGAATTGCAACAAAATATATAGAGTCCTAGTAGTAGTCAATTGCAACAGTGGAAACAAATAAAGAAGATGGGAAATTACCGGCAGAGGTTTGGAGGAACAGAAAACTCCAACAGTTGGATGCCGGAGACTAGTGTTAGGTCGACGGAGAGGCGGAGGCCAAGCTAAGTGAGGTGGGCGAACCAGAGCCAGAGCCAGAGCCATACCAATCTGCTGCACTCTAATTTCTATGCTCAATTTTATCTTTTACCGCTCATCACTCATCAAGGCCCTTTTCTTTTTTATTTATTTTTTATATATATTTGCTTGCCAGTTGCCATCACCATACGGTCCATACTCATCTTTTGCTTTGACTATTATTGTAGTAAAAAAATTTCTAGATTTTATTTATAAAATCCAAATCAAAATAATATTTTAGGAGTAAAATTGTCAACTCAAGTGATAGTCTACATTATCAATCAAAACAAAGGAAAATATCAAATGATTGGGTCATTGAATTTGACTAGTTGATAGCATTAGCTGATTGTAAAAAGATGTTTTGGTAAATTAATTGTTAGCTGATAGCTAATTACATTTTCAAAATGATTTTTTCAAAAAACTAATTGAAAATGCTATTTTGAGCATCTTTTTGCATTTTAATATTTTGAAACTGATGGTTTTTGGGTTTTCGGGCCCAAGGAGGTCCAACACAACCTTAAGTTGGAGGATACACCTTTCACAAAAAGTCTAGATTTTTTTAGTGAAGTATGATGCTCAATAGTGCTCTCTATTCCCTCTCGGGGTCTCCAATCTGCCCCTTACAAGGGTGGAGGAGCCCTCTTTATAGTGGCTCCTCCTCTACTGACTTAAAGGCCCATGATGGCCGACTTAAAGATTACATTCAATGTGTCGAGCCGTTGGGCGACGTTACGGACTCTGCCAACGGCTCTCTCTGGCTAGTAACTGGCGGACCGAGTCCGGCCTTTAATGCCTCAACGGCTCCTTGCCTCGACTGCTCTGAAGGCTCCCTCAACGGCTCTCTGGACCGAGTCTTCTCCTGGGCCGGACCTGGGCCGACTCCTCGTCCCCGTTTGGCATCGGGCCGTCCTTTCCGGGCTCTGAACTGGGCCTCCTTCTTCAGACCTGGGCCGAGTCCTGGACCCGGCCCATGCATTCTTTCTGGGCCTCTTTTCTTGGGCTGGGGTTCTCACCCCATCAACTAGTCCCTCACTTTTTCATACCCGGTCCGCCAACCTGGGTTTGGAAAAGTAGTAACCGCCTCCTTCTCACCGAATCCGTGCCTTGAATGACCCAGGATTAGCCCAGATTATCCGCTATCTCCCGGATCTCGCGGGACCGTTCTGATCTCCTCGGCCTGGCCTGGCACCTATAAATGACCTTGACCGCTCTTCTCTTAACTTACTAATTCCTCATGGGTCGCTCACCACTGAAAGGGAAGCGAATTGACTTTGGATCGCCCCGGCGCCCCTTGCCTTCGAAACGGACTCGGCCTGAGAGGGAGCCTAGAGGGAAGGCTCCCCGTCCGACTCCACAGAGATCACCTGTTGGCGCTGCCTCCAGGGCTCTTCATCCGCCGACTCCTGCTCGTCGTGAAGTCGCTCCGACTTCTCGCCCTTCTCCTCCTCCGGGGACTGCTCGAGTAACTTCCCCAGGCGGGACCGTTGTTGATGTGCCTGTCCCAGAGCAGCTGACCTTCCGTATGACCTTTTCTATTCCTCTGGATGACTTGGACGGTCCGGTTACAGGGCTAATGAACGAGGAAGACTTTGCTCGTTATCAGGAGATGTACCCGGACGACGAAGAGCTGGTTGTGCCACCACTCATGCCGGCGTTCTGGGACTCGCTTTGCCCACCCTCTCCTGGACCATCGGGAGGGTTCTTTGGGAGCGACTCCTCCTCGCCGAGTGAGTGATCTTTGTGAACTGGGGGCGGCCGGATTCTCTAGAGGGGTAGTTCTTTTAGGAGCACTTGCTTTCTCTGTAATAAGCTCCTTGTAACCTGCACCTTCTTTATTTTATAATAAAATATTTTCGGCCTTCAGTTTTCATCTTTTTCAGTATATTTAGTGCACTCGTCCGTCCCAATTGTCGAGGAGTCGGCCGCGATGTCGAGTCCTCCCTCCGCTTGACACCTGTAAAATCTCGCTTCCCAGGGCGAGCCAGGCTTTTTTCAGTTTAGCGTGCGAATCTCACCCTTCCCGAGCTAATTGGATGGGATCAGTCTCTGACAGAGATTCGCGCTGCCCATCCAATCCGGCTCAGTTATGTCAGTTACGATTCCCTCCGTGATTTACGCCTCGGTCGTCGCTCTCTCGAGGCTCTATATAAGGGCTCTTGGTAGCTCTGTGCTTTCTCACCATTTTACATCTCAAAACCTCAAGCTATGAGTTTCAGGGACGGTGATCGTCGTTGGTCCACCGTAATAAGGAGCATGCCCGGCAGGAGGAGCTCCGGCGGAAGATGGCGGCTAGCGGAGGGCACCTGGTGGGCGACTCCGCTTCTGATCCCATCGTGGTGCCTCCTGACATGCTTGATCTGATGGTCGTGGAGCCAGAGGAGGACGAGATGGAGCCCACGATAGAAGATCCAGAGCCAGAGGAGGACCTAGAATGGGAGGCTCCTCCGCTTTTTGGCGTGGCCATGTCACCGAGTGCTCTGGAGAGGCCCCTGCGGATGGTTGTAGATGGGAAGCCTGCTGTGTATCTAGATGAACTGCCCGAGCCCGAGCCTGAGCCGAGTCCGTTGCCTTTCCGCCCCCACTACTACTTGGAGGGTCCGCAGCCGGTGCGTCACGCGGAGGAGGAGGAAGTTAAGCCCTAGGCCCGTCTTTTCTGTGTAATGCTTGTGGCCGAGTCCTCGGCCTTGTACCCCTGTCTTTATGGAATAAAATCTCGTTTTTACTTTTCGGTTCTTGGTTTTTGCGTGTTCCTTTGGCCGACTCTTGGTCGTCATGACCGACTTGTAGACTCTGCCCGACCAAGCCCTGTGGGTGACGGATTCGGCAGATCCGTCGGCCGATCTTGCGACCTGAAGCTCGTCCGGGCCCCTCCATTTGGCCGGACCCAGCCGGGTCACTTCTAGAAACTTCTAGCGTGATCTGGATGGGCCCCCATAGCTTTTGCCTTGATGGGCCTTTGGCCTGGCAGGCCGGGTCATTGTCACTCAACCTCGGTCTAGGGTAGACGCGCCGCTTGTAGGCTAGCCCTAGGCCTGAACCGTCGTTCCGCCCATCGAGGCATTAAATGCGGCGTCCCTTCAACGTCTTGTCGCCTCCGATTCCTCCACTACGGAGGCGCCGCGTGGCAACCTCTTGGACTTCTTTCCCCCCTTAAAAGGCCTTTTCCTTCCATTCTTCTTCTTTAATTCTCCCACCAAGCTTCTGCTCTTTCATCGTCTTCTCAGCCTCAACTCCAATCTGTAAGTAATGCCTTCCTCTTCTCATTCTTCTTCTTCCTCCCGTTGGCCGTCTTTTGACAATCCGGCGGGGACCTCTCCGTCATCTTCTTCTTCTTCTTCCGTCGTTCGCCGCCTGGAAATGCCGGCGGGCTTCCAGGCGGTGTCTTCTTCTTCGCTCTTAGCCCCTTCTTCTTCTGGGGCGGCCACTCCGATGAGCCCAGCCCCGTTGACTACGGTGGCTGCTTTGCCGGGCGGCGTTGTACGGCCGCGAGGCAAGTTTGACTCGGTTGTCCGGCCGTCCGGTCTTCCGTCGTTGGCCACAGCGGCGGACCTAGACATGGCTCGCTTTCTGCTTGGCCCTTCGGCCTTGGTCGTCGCGGCGGAAAGCCGGCCTATCCACGACCCGCCGGAGGGTTTTGTGGGTATCCATCTGCACTCGGTTGCATTCGGCTTCCGAGTGCCTCCACACCCATTTCTTTCACTCCTCTTTCGGCATTATAACTTGGTCCCGGGCCAGTTAGTGCCTAACTCTCACCGACTCCTGACCAGCTTCATCAATCTCTGCCATTGGTGGCAGTGCGAGCCGGATTTGGACCTGTTCCGGTACCTCTTTACCGTGAACAAGGTCGGTTCTCACTTGCCCGGCTTCATCCAAGTCGCCGCCCGTCCGGGGCGACAACTTTTCGAGGGGTTGTCCGACTCGATAAAAGAGTGGAAGCCCCTTTATTTCTTCGTCCGACTTTGCTCCTCTTCCTTCACCTTTCCGACCCTCTGGCCGGCGACTCTCTTCAAGCCCTGCTCTCGGCGCGCCGTCTTTATGGAGGATGCTGTCATGGGCGGCGACTTCTTGAAGGGCTTCGGGCCGTACTCCGTCAAGTACTGGTCCCGAGTCCGGGCCATGGCCAGGCATGGCCTTCTGCCGGAGGGCGCCGCCACCGTAGGTAGCGTCTTTTTCATTTCTTTCTCGACTTGCTTCTTATTTCCTACGGGAACCCTCACAAGTGAGTGGATTTCTTTTGCAGGTCCGTACGATTCCGACTCCTCCAGCTCCGGCGAGGCAATCGCACCGACCCCTGAGATGGCAAATAGAGCGGAAAAGATGAGGCGTCGCTTGACGCAACGCTCTACCGGTGCTGCCGCCGCGTCCTCTTCTCAGCCGTCGCCGGTGGTTCGACCGACTCCCCCACCTTCCCACAACGTGGTTGACCTCACACCTTCGCCCGTGGTATCGCCCAGTCGGCAGCCGCCTCCTCCTGCTACTGAGAGTCCGAGTTCTAAGCGGCCTGCCGAGCATACGGAGGGGCTGACTCCGAAGAGGATCAGGCTGTGCCACGAGGTGGACGAGGATGCCCAAATCTGGATGGGCAACACCTCCGTTCGCAAGTGGTGCAAGGATGTCCTTCTGCCAAAGGATGTGGAGTCGACCCGTGCTCTTGGCGACGGGTTCATCATCGAGGCCTTACTCCGTCAGTCGTATCGCGTAAGTTTTACCCATTCGGCCTTTTTCCTCTGTTTTACCCATTCGCAAGTGGTGTAAGTTTTTTCTTTTCCGTTCGACTGACGGTTTGGTGTGCAGGACCTCGCCCTCCAGATGGAACTGGGCAATCGGTTCCAGGGCTTTAGGAATGATATGCGGGCCATGACCGCCAAGCAGCGCCAGATAGAGGAAGCTCTCCTGGAAGAGCAGGCGAAGCAGCTCAAGATGGTGGAGGTGCACAACGCCGAGTTGCTGAGGGTCACCCGTCAGTGGGAGGAGGAGAAGGGCAGAGTGGCCACGATCGCTGCGACTTCTGTCGCAGATTATAAGAAGTCGGCGGCCTTCGAGGCGGATGTGCAGGCGGCGGTGGCAGCTCGGAGGAGAGAGGTGGCCAAGGAGTGGCTGGCGACCCCAGA